GATTGCTAGTATCACTCAGCCCTCTGTGAACAGTAAACAGCCATCAGTGTGCTAATGATCCATTGTTAGGCTGATGGTCCTTCTTGAGCATGTGATCAGCTGGTTTTGGTTGTCAGCAGCAAATTGGTTGATCCACTCTGAGAAGGTGCTATTTAAGAGACTGAGCTGAATACAGCACCTCAGACTGAGGAAGTCTCTCGGATGAGAGACGAAACGTTTCTACATTTTTTTGTTATTTTGCTTTGTTTTGTTTTTTTGAATGTCCAGAGGACCAGATTTAACTTTTTTAGAACTAGACAAACAATGTCATGCAAAAGTGTAGAAATTTAATTTCAGATCATTTAGCATATTTTTACATCAGTGTCTTCTTAAAAATAATTGGTTTTATAAGCCTGATTTACCATGGTTTAATAAAAAATTGGGTTTTTCTTTAGTCTAGCCTGGACATCAACTTGTGCCTTTTCCCCGTAAACTTCTATTAGTCAAGGATGATAAGATATTGATTATTGATAACCATTTGACACAAGATAATTTTGAAAATGGCTAGATTATTCCTTCATGTGTAAATAAAAATTGTTCTAGAAGTACAAGTTTAAGCAAAAACAAAATGGGGTTTACGGATTGTCTTATGGGATGTTATCTGTCATTTAGGAGGTCCTGTGCGTCTCTCAGCTCTGGTGATGAAGAATTTACAGAAATTAAAATGAAAAATGTTTAAGATCGCACATACCGGTGGTTGAAATTAGTTTCCTCCACAGAGCTGAACTCTCCCTTAGAGATTCAGTTCAACTGAATTCAGTTTATTTAGCTCCAAGTCACAGCAGAAGTCATTCATTCAACCTTTATTTCTACAGGTTAGTCTCATCAAGTCACAAGGACTCATTTACAACAGAGACCTGTTTTAAACAAAGAACACAAATGAGGTACAGGCAACAACAGACAATCATATAAAAAGCATATAAAATGATAAGTAAATATAAAAAATGAAATAAAAAACAAAACAAGAACAGTTACATTATAAAGCTATGTAAAATATTATAAACAGGAACATGTCTGCGTTGGTTTTTGCCAAGAACTTAGCAGTTGTTTAAAATCCCTTAGAGAGGCAGGGGGATAGGGATTAGTGTTGTGTTCAAGACCACCTAACCCGAGACCAAGTCAAGACCAAGACCAGAGTGTACTGAGACTGAGACAAGACCAAGACTTTTAGGGTCTGAGACCGTTGAGACCAAGACCTCAAATAAAATAAATAAAATATTATTATAATTTTTTTAATAAAAGTTACATACTGCAACTCTGTTTGCTTTTGAATGAATGTATCAGCTTTTGTAAAATTTCAAAGCTACATAACAAAGAAATCAGACTTCAGTGGCCTAGCTTCATGTGATTCAACAATAAAACTTAAATTGGAAGCAGTTTCATCACATGCCAAGCCTTAAAAAACTGAAGTGGCAAAACACTCTTCATAAGTCCAAACTCAAGACCCAGGATAACCAGTGGTTTCAATAAAGTAGTAGATATACACCTAAAAAGTTACATGAATGGAAATTAGTTTAAAGTAAGGTTTCATTGCATTTTAGAAACATGAGAGATTGCAACATACTGTGGCCTAAACGTGCACAATGGGGTCTCATTAAAATACCTTCTCGACTGAAAACCCTTTCCACTGGTGCAGAGGAGGCAGGGACTGACATTACCTTCAATGCTAAATTGTGGAGTTGTGGAAATCTGGCATGGTTTTTTTGTCCAGAAGACAAGTGCATTGTCAGTATCAGAGTCACGGATGGCATCAAAGTATTTGCTTATCTGTGTTACAATACCTGAATCCTGGACTGAGCTGTGACAGCAGCGGGACAGAAGGCCAGGGCATTTGGTTGGTGGCGAATCACTGGCTGGATCCACATTCATGGCTCCTGAGTACGTGTCATCTTTACTGTCCACAATATTCTCCACCTCAAAGATCAATGTTTCTGAAAAACAGAAACACGGTGGACTGAGTTATATTTAAAGGGATATGCATATATCAAAGTTGAATTAAATACTTTTAGGACCATTTATAGGGCCCTTTATTTAATGATCATCCACCCATCCATCCATCCAATCTCTTCCACTTATCTGGGGTCGGGTCGCAGGGGTAGCACCCTAAGTAGGAAGACCCAGAATTCCCTCTCCCCAGCCACTTGGGCCAGCTCCTCCAGGGGAATCCCAAGGCATTCCCAGGTCAGCTGAGAAACACAGTCCCTCCAGCGTGTCCTGGGTCGTCCTCTGGGTCTCCTCCCAGTGGGACATGCCCAGAACACCTCACCAGGGAGGCGTCCAGGAGTCATCCTACCCAGATGCCCGAGCCACCTCAAATGGCTCCTCTTGATGTTGAGAAGCAGCAGCTCTACTCTGAGTCCCTCCCCGATGGCTGAGCTTCTCACCCTATCTCTAAGGGAGAGCCCAGACACCCTGTGGAAAACTCATTTTGGCCGCTTGTATCCAAGATCTCGTTCTTTCGGTCACAACCCAAAGCACATGACCATAGATGAGGGTAGGAACGTAGATTGACCGGTAAATTGAGAGCTTCGTCTTTTGACTCAGCTCTCTCTTCACCACGACAGACCGGTACAGCGCCCACTTCACTTTCCAATGCTGCACTTATTCACCTATCGATCTCACATTCCATTTTTCCCTCATTCGTGAACAAGACTCCGGGATACTTAAACTTCTTCACTTGGAGCAGGATCTCCTCCCCGACCCGGAGAGGGCACTCTACCCTTTCCCAGCTCAAGACAATGGCCTCGGATTTGGAGGAACTGATGCTCATGTAGATGAATAGATGCTTAGATATATTCATCAATTAAAACGGATTCTTCATTTTTCTGGACTGAATAAAACGTGCATTGAATTTAATAAAATGTAACGTGAGACGTTATTCATCTTTGACCCATCAAAATAAATGTGGCCATTTATTTACAGAATCAAAGTTTAACATCAAACATTTACATTAATTTGGCAAAATATGAAATTAACAACCTAATTAATCAGCAGCTGTACACTTAGAAAACCATACGGCGATGGTTGAAACTTTACACAGACATTTCTAAAATATCTGGAATGATTTCTACTTGAGAGAAGAATTTAAAGATGGAAAGATGAAGTTTAAAGGGAGTAAAAGATGGTGTGTGAGGGGGAGTGTTGACCAGAACCGACACTCTCCATTCGAACCCAGCTTTTCCTCGGTACGCTCGGTAGTAAACTTGACTCATTACCTCTCTGAAGATGAATCAGCAGATACGGAGTTCCAGTTAACGCTACCTGTCCAGCGTCTCCATAGGATGGCTGTGACTCGTCCGAAGTAGTGACGAGATTCCGTCCGACACAAGCTCACCTCAGCAAGTGGACTTCACATGAGTGGAATCCTTCAGAAGTTCCACTCAGAGGTGGAAGATGTTATAATCCAAACTCGGAAGAGCCTTATCATGGCTGGACTTCTGTTCTCCCAAACGACTGGAGCTGCAAACTCTCCAGCCGACTCCAACGGCAACTCACAGAACAACGACTTCACAGAACTGCGAACATCTCAGAACTGAGAGAACTAGGAAGTACCGGCATTTAAAGGGCTCTATTTCCGGTATATTTGAGAGTTCCTGATTGGTCAATGTCGACCAGACAGGGGTGTGGTTTGTGACGTAAGAGGTTACTAGAAGTCAGAAAACAGCAAGAATTGTTATGGAACAGATTAAAATGTTCTCAGAGACAGAGAGAGAAAT